GACGTCTCTATTTCTGCAGTTTACAATTCGTATCATGACATCTGTTTATTTCAGAAAGAACCTCAGAAACTTCTTTGCTGTTTCAAGGCGGAGGCCACGGATCCTAGGGGTTTATTTGAAATATAGTTAAAATACAGCTCATCTTGCTATCATGCAGTAAGTGCGGTTTAAGTGTGATTTGTTCACATTTCTGCAATAAACCTACTGTAACTTTGCCAGGCATCATATTCATTACTTTCTGCCCTTAAACGCGAGCCAAGTGGGGCTTGGAATAAAGGAATTTTTATCTTATTTTTTTGCCAATGTACAAAACGGAATTGGCCAATTCATGTGCACTGAAACGATTTTTAACTAACTGAAATCATCTTTGCTTGGACAATTCTCTGCATACAGGTGTCCTCCATTATCCCTAAGTGCTTTCAATAACTCCATCTTTCTGTTGAAAATCCAACACAGCTTTGTCAGTATGAGCAAGAAAATGACTTGCAGTAGATTATTTCACAGCTGGAGCAAGACAGGCATCAAGCATGGTATCATGACCTATACTCTCAAAATTCAAGCCTTGATCTTCTCTCCAGATCTTGTGGTAACTTCATAACTCACTGACACTGTCTGGAAGCCATCTAGGTTGTGAGAGAGTTAAGATTTGCCAATTCATTCCAGCTGAGATCTGCAAAGAAGCCAACAGGAACAAGCACCCAGCTGTCCTTCAAAACTGGGAAGTCTGGAGAAGCCAGCCTCTCTTTCTTCATCAGCAGATGCAAAAGCTTTCCCCTTGGACAAGCTCCATTTCAATATGCTTGCCACAGAAGCAGGAAAACTTTGATTTTGTACCATGAAGGGTTTAGGTAAAAGACATGAAAGTATTGTTAAACAAAGACAATGAGGCTGCAAAATCTCACTCAGATAATGAAAATCATACAAAGACTTTCTCCTATTGGCTCCCTTTTTCCCTTCCTATTTTTCCATCTCTACAGGAGTCAGTGGGAGTTTTATCCTTGGAAGCCCTTTCTGTTCCCATCAATGCTCTTGTCTTCACAATGACTGTCTGCCTCATCATATGTGTTTTTATTGTTTACAACGGGAGAATCCTATGCTGTTCCTCTCAATTACATTTCAAAAATGAAATGTAAACATGAACATTCTGCTGTTATTTTGAGCAAAAAGAAAGCTTTGTTGGGTTGTAGGTGGCTGAATGAAAATGACAGAGAACAATAGGGGAAAAAAGAGGATGGATGTGGAACAAAAAGTACAAAAATGTAAATAAAAAAACCTGGAAAACCTGGAAAGCCATCTTTCACACTGTGCTGCCTTTGGCTGATGAGCAATAGAGGTTTGATTCCTCTTGCTCAGTGTGGTAAAAACAAAGCGTGTATGTCACATCCTGTGACGAAGTTTTTTCCCAAATTTTTATCTGTGCCTTGGGACATTAATTAGTTCCTTCTGTGCTCCTGAAAGGGCTGCAGATCTGGCATTATCACTATATATTTACTTGGAATTTAAGTGAGGCTCCTACAGTGTGTGACCCAAGTTTTAAAACTAATGAATCCTTTTTCTAAGCATCATTTAGTATGATTTCAAGATTAAAAAGAAATGCTTTATGAAAGCACATCCTCACTGAATAGATCAAATCGTTCATTTTAATGGATTCTGTTTTCTGGCCATGGACAAGTTTATACATGAAATACTGTTCACACTCAGATAAATTTTAAAAAGCACATGTTTTAAACAAAAAACAACCCTGAAATATCCACAACTCTGGTTTTGACAAAGTTGCAAGATACTGTAGAAAGCTAATTCATTCCATAGCCCAGCAGAGGAAAGACCCTACAAACCCCGGCCAAGGATTTGCTAGAAAAAAGTGAAGAAATACAAGGCTGTGAACCATTTGTTTTAATAATTCCTCTATCCCTTGGTTCACGCTCTAACCCCGACCCACATTATTATACACTTAAGAGCAGCACATTAAAGCAAGCCAAAGGGATCCAGAGGAAGGGATGGAGGGCAGGTTATAACTAAGTGGGATGATATATGTAAGAGCACTTTCAATAGATGGTTGTATATTAGTCTCTTTAAATTGCACACATTTCTGAACGCAGTCCGCACATTCCTGTGTGAATGTGCAGCAGTGTGCTCTGGGCACTAGAACACTGTAAATCAGTACAATAATTTAGGCAGACAAATAACTTGCTGAGAATTGACTGTCACTGGTGGATCAGAGAGCACCAGAACAGAGTCAGTTATGCTGCAGGGTTACTCACATGCCACAACAGTAAGCATGTCTGTAGTGGCATCTCACACCCTAAAAAGAAAACTAAAGAAAGCCTCACAGTTTACCCATCTAATATTTTTGCTTTTCTTTGCAGCTAGTATTAAGGAAATGGCACTTTGGCAGAAAAAAATGTGCACAGTAGGTCACCTTTTATAGTGGTGCAGGCTAGTAATGACTGCAAGGACCTCAGGCACATCACAAGAACAGTCTACCAGACAGTGGGAGAAGCCTCTCCCACAGAGGACAGAAATTGCCTGTTTGGTGTTGTGAGTTTTTGCAGCAAAAGCAAATTCAAAGCCAAGTGGAGAGAAAATAGTATCAGCAAAGTGTACTGAATCGGATGTTTACCTTTGCGAATATCAACTTACTTTGTTAACTTTTTTCTTTTTTTTTAAATAAAATAAAACCTGTCCTTGGCTGCTGCTGAAAGTGAAGGATATCTCAAATGCACTAAGTGGCCAGAGAATGATGCAAATACCTTAAAATGTAATAAAGTTTTTGGCAGGCCTGTTGATCTCATAGAATTTTAATGCTTACATTGTTTTGTCATTTTGGAAATCTAATAAGCATTTCTTCACTAGACACTGGTGGCAAAGGGTTCTCTGGTTTGCAGTTTGTGTTGTTATTGTAGAATAAGGCTCTGAGCTACTGCTTTCCCAGGACTATACATCCTTACTGCCAACATTTCATACTATTCGGCCAGACAGTAATTCCTCACTTGCCTTCTTTAAAAGAGTCCTGTCCCATATTTTTTTGGCAGAAACTAGTCAGTCATTTCTGGTTTGCTGAGGTCTTCTCTCCTTTCTCTCTCCCTAGTCTCACAAGTAAACCACACAAAAAGCTGATTACATGCTCTGTTGCTGTAGCATTCATTACTTTTTATGCCAAAGCCCTCACATTTTAAAATATTTGCTATACTGGAATACTGGATTAAGAGAGCTAGAGAATTAAAATCTGCCACCCTTGCCATAGAAAAAATAAAAGGCAGTGAGAAACCAGGGAGCACAGGTAATAGCTTCCACTTTGAAAATGCAGAGTGTTGAATTTTTCCTTATTAACTTTGTCTTCTTAATTACCTTTGTTCTCTTAATATTTTTTTAAAGAATACTAATTGCAAACATTATGTAAAAGTATGTGCAAAAGTATATTTTTGATTAATTGCTACAATGACAAAGCTTGCACTCTTCACAGTTACTTTCTGTTTATGATAGAAAATCATCACAACTCAGTCAGGATCAGCTCTGAAACTTAAACTTCAGTCTAACTAGTTGTAGATAGTTGCTTAATGTAGACAAGGGTCTGATGACTCCTAACATTTTCGCATTCACATTAATTAAGCATCTTTCAATTAGCATAGAGGGTCAACTCAACTCATAGCAATTACCTAATAGTAACTGTGGCAGGGACACAGTAAGTATGTATGGTACACTACCATAACACAGAACAGTAATAACAGAATTCTGTTGTTCCCATGACAGCTCAAGATTTTGCCATGCAATAATTTTTATTTAACAGGTAGTCAGAAAGAACTTGGTGTACATAGGTTTTTTTCCAGTAACTCAAAATGTTTAATCATTCCCATTATCAAGAGAGGTTTTATTAATCTCTTCTGGACTGTTCAGCGTTTCAAACACAACCAATTTTCCCACTTATGCATTTCTTACTGACTTCATTCTCCAGCAAAATTAACCTCTATGAAAATTAAGCCCATTACATGGAAAAAAGGTAATTGAGTTTGACATAGGACAGTTTGACATTGCTGCAGCTAGCTGTGCATTAAACCATTTTTAGATAAGTGTTCTTGATTATTAGCTTGCAGGGACAAAGCACTCTGTAATTGCCGTGAAGTACCATCTATCCAAGGTGTACAAAAAATCTTTCATTTGCTTCCAAAGTGCTCTCATTCTTTCTCTTTCCTTTCCTCTTTCTTTCTTTCTTTCCCTCCTCCCTTTTTTCCCTCCATCCCTCTTTCTCTCCTTCTCTCCTCTGTTTCTTTCAATAATTTTCCTGGTAGGCTTCTACATGCATGCCAAAATCTTCCAACATTTGTCTCACCTGGCAGGTTAAAGGACATGGCTATCTATGGAATTCTACTAGCTGCTCAGACTTCTTTTTCTTCCCCTCCCTCTGCCAACACAGTGTTATGATTATGTATCAGACCCACAGTCCTGTCATGGTTGCAGAGGGATCAACATGGAGGACTGATGCCTCTTTCCATATAGCCTTCACAACAAACAAACAAACAAATAAATAACTGGATGCAAGTACAAATATTTTAACCCATTCAGTCAAAGTAACCAAACCAAGCTGCCTGTGGCATGAACACTGACAATCTGAAAGATTAATCCAACCTGCTCATTATATCATAGAATCATAGAATCTATGGTTGGAAGGGACCTCAAAGCCCATCTAGTTCCAACCCCCTGCCATGGGCAGGGACACCCTCCACTAGCCCAGGTTGACTGCAACAGTAAAACACTCACCCAGTGTTAGCGGGAATAATGTTGTAACTGGGTATTTTCAGGAGAGCTTTGCAAGGCTAGGTGAAGGATTCGTCACTTGCTTAACAGTGTGTTTTTACAAGCTAATCTTCCATATGATAATTACAGCACTGACTCTGTGGGCTGTTTGACGTCCACTACACTATAGGGCAGAACTGCCTAAAAATGTTTTGTAAGGAGAACATAGACATGTTACAGATGGAGAGAAGAGTGCAACAAGACAATACCTGAGAATGCTTGGAGACCCAGTGGCGCAAGACATTCAGGACGCGATTGGTGGCTGCTCTACGTATTATGAACTCTTTGTCACATATGCGTTCAAAGTTGTTAAATCCTGTGTGGAAAAAAACCACACATTGGAGTTAATGGAGGTAGCAAAAATTCAAATATGGTATGAATAACTTCAGTAAACTGAAAAGTCATAGAACATTCATGTATAATAAAAGGAAAGACACCTATATAGACTTTCAAAAACGACCATTTAGACTGCTGAAATTCTGCAAGTTCAGAAGAATACAACCTTGCCGATCATAACTAATACAGACATCTACTTGGGTCAACATTCAGCTTTAGAAAGATTAAGAACATTTGCCTGTGTCATTAACATCATGGTCTCGCTTGGTGTAGGGAAGAAAATAACAGGCCCAGACCAAAAATGTACAGGGCCTGTAATCAAAAGGATTACAGAAGGAAAATGAGTATGATTAAGAAAAGGGAAAGTGGTGAATTTCAGAAGTCGTAAAGAAAGTGGGGGAGGATACCAGTTTATACACAGAGGAGAAGAAGGTCAACACAAGAAATGTTCCTTCCTAAAAGCAGTATTGTACTGGCTCTGCTAGTCAACAGAGAACGTTCAAATAAGCTGCTTGGTTTTTTACCACTAGGGTGACAAGAAAGTGGGAAGGTATACAGAAAACACATTTACAACCCCAGCTGCCTGAAAACAAAGATTTGCCAAATGCAGCATTTCATTCTGCTGTAGCTGTATCATAAATACAATCTGTATAATAAAATAATTGCATTATTTTATAATAATAAAATGATGACATTAAACCTTATTTTTTAAAAAAATTGGTAACTCCGAAGATACACTTGAGAAGATTGTATTTTTCTAATTTTTTTTAGACTTGATCTTACACCATGCTGTCTTCCATTTCACTCAGTGCAGAGCCCAGGGAACAACTGGAACAACTGGCAACACCCTTCCACGTGACCAGTATTTTACTATTTTTTTTGCATAAAAGTTGTTCTAAAGCCCGTGTATTATTATAAACAGCAAAGGCAGATTAAACGTCTGTTTATTAGGTGAGAAACCCATTGGAGGTATTCTTTGAGACTAGTATCAGTTTTGCTCTATTTTTATTAAATACAACCCAAAAAATCCGAATTGCTGCTATTTTTTTAAAGATAAGCAGGAAAAGTTTAACTTGCAACTTTTACAGCAGTTTGGACCCTAAACCCCAAATGTATTTTCTATACCTATGTTTCATGGAAGTTTCTTAAAACTATGGCATATTACACTGTAGTTGAAATCTAAGATTCAATATGAAAAGAAGTTTCATATTAAAACTTCTTCAGGAGTTTCATTGCCCATAAACAGCAAAGTAAACAAAATCTCTGAGGCTTTATTCAGTAAAAGGTAACCTAGGCAACATTTTGTGTGTTAATTTTCTATGCCTTTCACAGTTAACCTCTTGCAGAAGCAATTAGGCACACACATTATAAACTGTTCAATTAGCCACTTAATTGCAGCAATGAAAGTCACAATGAAAATTATATATTAAAGTAGTGGAGCCTTTATCAAAGCAACATTAAGGAAAGGAAGTTTTAGTAAGCTGGAAGGAAAACAGAAAGAACCCTACAGAGACAGTTTTCAGTTAGCTGCAAAAAGAATAAAAAGAGCAAGAAAGGAAAAAGGAAAACCTCCAGACACTACTTCAGAAAACTTCTATGGTCCTCAGAATTTCATCAATTTTTAAGCAGTAATTAGCTTGTGGAGAATAAGCAACATATTCACTGAGATCCACATTGTCAGTACTTAATGTTGATGTCTCAAACATATAAATGGACATGTCCAGTTTTGTAGGAAAAGAACTTAACTGAACATAGATGCATATGTGAATTTAACTTCAAGATGGTGATTCCTCGTACATCTTCAGGTACAAGATTTCAAATAAATAACTAAATCAAGAAAATACATTTTTTTTCAAACTAAAACTGGATATCTATTAACTCCATTCTGACCTTGTTTTTAAATACCAAATAGCTCTGAAAGCAAGGACGTGTTTCCTTCTTTCTTCACACAATATGTATAATTTATTGTTCTTTACAGAAACAAGAAAGAATCCAGAGATCGTCAAGCAACACTCACTATCCAAGACAAATCTGCAGACTGATTTTGAAGAAGATCATGTTTATGACACTTTCTTGTGGAAATGGAATGGAGCAGAATACTCACTATTCTCTGTATACTGGCTTAGCATCCTTCCATTTGGATGTCTGGCTTTACCTCAAGGTTTTCCTTTAGAACTTGTTTTGAGTAACAGTAGACCTCAGGTAGGCTCCATATTCAGTAGCTTTGACAACAGTTAAGCAGAATTAGGCCTTACGCCAGAGCCAAGTATGCTGGAGAATTATACAAGGAGTCCTTGACCTCCCTGAGGCAACTGAGGCTGGAGCAGGACATAGCTACTGGGACTTGCAGTGCTCAGAAAAAGAAGCCTCTGCCAGCAGTTCCTCTTCTGTAATCTACCATGTTATTTCCAAGCAAATGCTTCTGCATAGACATGGAAGGAACACGGAGAAGTTCAGGACAAAGGGTTTAGTTATACTCTCACATGAAAATGAGATGACAATGTTCTGGGCAACGCCAGGGACTTGCACTACAACAGTAATGAAGATGAACTGCCCCTTGTGAAGACGGAGGTGTGCAAGTCATTGACTGGTGCAGTGAGATCTAAAGAAGCGAAGCACATGATCTTCTCTAGGTCTTTTACCAGAAGACAATGCAAACTGAGAACCTGTTGAAAGGTGTTTAGCACACCTTCGGCTCAGTGTTTCCATCCCAAACTGATCTCTAACTGAAGCAGGAGCCAGACCTGACAGCATGTGGTAGAGATGGTTACCATCCACATCATTAAAATGCCCATCAGGCACAGATTAATTAAATTACTCTCAAAATTAGAAGTTATTTAATAATTGCTATTATTCATTAGATAAGCTTAAGTGGATTTTTATATATGACTTTTTCATTAAAATTGTAAAAAATAGCCACTTTTTTTTTGGACCTATATATCAGATTATGTAAGTGTAAAGTTATACTTAGATAGATACCAGCAAATCTATTCAAAACTAATGTGACAGCTCCCTCCCAGTCAGTATAGCAATAGCTAAAAAAACCCACCATTCAAAGTGCTGGATTGTATCATTCCTGATACTAAGAAAATTATGTTGTATTATTAACCTAAAGAAAAGTTAGTGAATATTGACAATGAAAGCAGAAGAAATCTCGGTAGTTCTTGCAGTCACTGAATAGATACTTTCATTAACCAAAAGGTGAAAACATACAAGAAAAAAGGTTCTCAAGAACATGCAAATTGCACAGAAGAGTGGTATGAACTTCAGGATCTTACCAAACAGAAAAAATTGAAAAAATGTCAACTTCAAACAAGTAACATCAGTAAGCACTGTTACTTTCTGTTTTTTTTTTTTAACTTTGACAGAAAAGGTCTAAACAAAACACTAAGAAAAAACCACTAAAAATTTATTGCCATAACTCCATTAATTTCTGCAGAAGCAGAAACATGCAAATATAAGTCCAGCTAGCACTGGTTTTGCTCCTTCTAACTTTCAAAGCCCCGCGGACTTTGGGACAGAAACTGCAAAGGGGAGATAATCACACTAAGATGTGATGAAGCCACTACAGAAACTATCTAAGCAGGCATCAGTGAACTTTGATGGTGCCATCAGTGTTTCCTGCACTTTTTGCAGTGCAAATTCCTCCTAATACATCAGCTTTACTGTTAGCTCCTTACTTCCTCCTCTCTCGTTCTGCCCACCTAATCCTCTCCTAATATAACTCCAAACAAAACCGTGAGCCACCATGACAACTGCAACTATTCCATAAGCATAGCCTACTTGTTTATGCCTATTTCAAAAAAGCCCAGTATACAACCTTAGCTGGTTCTGCATGTTCATGTCATTGCTCACGGATAACCCATGTTTCTGCTGCTGTCTACGCTGCAAAAGGTAACCCAATCCTGTCTGTTTTTGCAACAGGTGACAGTGGTGCTAGTTTAGCAGAAACTCCAAGCTATCTCGCCTCCTGTAAAATAACATCATCACACTTCTAAGACATATCTCAGAAAGCATCCTACCAGTTTCCAGTTAACCTCTTAGCATTGATGCACCCGGTCTGTTATTCCCCATATATTTTCCTACCTATTTTGGGGCTAGGAACAGTTTTTAACTCTGATTATACAGTCCCTAGCATAATATCATTCCTGTCCATAACTTGGACTCAGAGGCACTCTTAACCATGTAGGCTATAAATCTAGGTGGGTTTAAAGATTGACAAAATAGTCCTATCTGATCAGATGAAATTTCATCTAGCTTGGTATCCAGAAGAAAAAGCTTCTGGAATGAACCTTTAAAAGATGAAATTTTAAAGCTGCCTTTGCCATAGCGTGACATCCTTGGCATTGAGCAGTTTGGGGGCTAACTACACACATTACACTTAAATCAGTGGGAAAGTAGGCATGATTTCTTCTAAGTTCTTCTTCACTGTGGTTTCAAGAGAGGAGAGAGGTGAAGGGTCCTGTCTAGCAGGATGCCAACCTTTGCAATGTTTTAATTGGGATTCTGGATGGTGACATAACTTGAAACTCTCCGTGGTGAATATCTGTTTCTCTCCTGAAGGAAGCAATCTTTCTACATGAGGAATATCAGCAGTACTTCTAATCATTAATCATCTTAGTGGGCAGCTGCTTCTTTCACTGCTACCTTCAAGAAATGTTTTTCCCCAGTATCTGTTGAGATTAATATACACTGCTTCCACAAATAGTTTCTTCACATAACGGTAATGCAGAACTTTTACCACAGGCTGTCAAACACAATGTTAACCTGCCAGCATTGCTAGTTTCAGTGAATTACTTCTTTCGGTATAATTTAATCACTTTGTTCATGTACTTGTCTTCAGATTATGTTATGCAAAATCCAGTTTCACCTTCAGATGTTTTTCTTATGTGCACTATAATCAAACCCAATATTTTTATAGCTTCCACTATCACAAAAGATTAAAAAAGGTGCTGAATAAACATAAATCTCAGCATTTGC